GCTTGAACATTTTTAGTTTTTATTCATTATCGTCTTTATGAGCAGTTTGGCAGTTGTCACAAATGACATCAAGATGCCTAGCCGGAGTCAATTTTGTTCTGAATAGTTTTCAATCCGACAAGTAGGCTTACTCAGATTGGGCTTTTCCGCTTTTCGCGCTGCCGTTCCGCTTCCGCTGTAATTGTGTAATAAATAATAAAGCGAATGAAACGATGCTAAATGGAAAGCAGAATCAAAACAAAACCGCAAATAAGGCTACCAGAAACTCATATTTTTAATGGTCATAGGGTTACAAGAAGTTTAAAATAAAAATAAACCCCGTTAATATGCACGAAGTGTCATTCAGATTAGCGGGGGTCCACAGTATTGTAGGATATTTGGACACCGCAAAAATCTCCCTTTTATACCTGCACCATTCTAAACATGTGATTATAACCATTTCCCCAGAATTTGGGTACATTTTACTCATCGTAATAAAACTGGTTTACTCAGATTCTGCCAACTCCTTACTGCACATCACGGTGTTTCGTGAAAACCCATTAATGGGTAAAAAAATACCCATTTTCAAACCATGTATGCAGCTGTCAAAAAATGGGGGAATTTTGAAATCATAAAATGGGTGAAAAAATACCCATTTGAAGAATCAGTTCACGGTTGAATAATGGGTATATTTTTTACCCATTAATGGGTGAAAAAACACTTCGAAATTTTATCGTCTCATTTCCGTCACCGGCTCATTGGGAATGCAAACCTCGATGCAAACAGTTACTGTCCGCAGCAACGATCTCCGGAAAATGTTAGAATCCAAAACGTTGGAGAGGCTTACGGATAAGTCAATACAATGGATAATTTGTATTATAATGTTTCGTGAAAAATTTGAGCGGAACACCTGCATTTATTTTCAATGTTTTAAAATCATTTTTACATGAACGAGCGCTTGCATCCTCCATTTGTAAAAATGGGTATTTTTTCACCCATTTTACGGTAAACACAATATAAGAAAATGGGTGAAAAAACACCCATTTATTGACAGACCACCCATTTACCCATTTATGAGTAAACCATAGTTTACCCATTAAATGAGTAAAAGCCACTCAGTCAGCAAAATCCTAGACTTGGAAAAAATGCCAGTCATGTCGGAGGAAACCTCATAGAAAATGTAACTCAAAACCGGCTGAAATGCCTTCAGGTAAGTACGAATTGCTTAGGGAAACGGTGTTGAACCGTTTTTTGCTCCGGTAGAATGAATCCGGAGCAGGCAATTTCCATTTCCTTGAATAAAAATCAAAACAAAAACTCTCCCTGCAACTGAAAATACCGGCGAGTGGATTTGACTCAGTCTACGTGAGAACGTAGTTTACTCAAAAGTGAGTCAACATAAGGCTACTCAATTTTGAGTAGCCATACTTGCCGTTGAGATGAGTACATTCGACTCAATTTTGAGTTGACCAGAATAAGCGTGAACGCTAGTGTGTGTAAAATTATATTATTAGTGTAGTGTTCGTGACATCCTGCTTGGAGAACTCAATAATCTGCATTTTCTTTTATGTGTTTGGATTACCTCTAAGCTTATTGTACATTCAAACTATAGCAGATATAATGTTATTTAGGCACTTTTGATAACGCTATTACGTTATTAATATCAACTATAGTCTGAACGTAGTACAATGTCATGACGTCAGGGTAGGCGTGTAACATGCATGAGAAAGCTACACAGCAAAAAAAAAATGTAATATCGATCAATGTAATTCAAGCTGATGTATGAAATAATGATGTAATAACAAAAAGCAGATACAATATTACATCAATGGATGTAATTTTGTTCGCAAAATCGATGTACATCGTACAACGTTATATTACACAACCGATGGATTGACCTGGTTGCAGCAGTTTGGATGTAATATTCAACAACTTTTTTTTCTGTGTAATACTGTTTGCCACACCTTTTATTTGACTAAACGTATGAATTGATTACACGCTTAAATAATAAGGCCACGAATGTTTATAGTCACCTTTCTCACCGGGAGAGGGTATTACCATAGAGGTAACTCTAAGACTAGAAGGTCCCAAAATAACGTGCTCAACTTTTTGGCTCAGCTCTGGTACTATCTTCGGTCCCAAGCTAATCGATTCACCCCTCGAAACATAGGAAAAACCAATAACCCCTCATTTTATCTGTCAAACTTTCATAGCGAATCAAAACAAACATTGCGTAGTACTAGAATTTCGACTAGAATGGGATACGTTAATCGTTTGCTTGGTATCAATAGGCTAGTCAAGTAGTGAGCCAATTTAAAATCGTTGGTTTCGTATTGATTGTTGGTATTACCATAGAGGTAACTCTAAGACAAGTAGGTCCGAAAGAAACGTGCTCAACTTTTTGGCTCACCTCTGGTACTATCGTCGGTCCCAAGCTTGTCGAATCACCCCTCGAAACATAGGAAAAACCAATAACCCCTCATTTTATCTGTCAAAATTTCATAGCGAATCAAAACAAACATTGCGTAGTACTAGAATTTCGACTAGAATGGGGTACGTTAATCGTTTGCTTGGGACCAATAGGCTACTAAAGTGGTGAGCCAATTTAAAATCGTTAGTTTCGTATTGATTGTTGGTATTACTTATGCGTCTTTTCAGAAATATATGGGAATTCTGGAAGTGAACCATAATTGTTAATTTATTATATTTGGAATTATATACCATTATTACGAGTACTACTTCTTTGCTCGGATCATGTTTTGACTCCCACAGAAACTCGCTAGAATAAATACAAAATAATAGTTTTTTGGATGAAATTTCAAAAATGTATTCAGTTTGACACATTATTTCGGACTTATCACCGCTGCGATTGCAGCGCCATGGTGGCCGATTGAAACTTGGATTTGTCAATTGTAGCTTCGCCTTTTTTTAGCAGTTAGGTACCACTTGAAATTAATTCACTGCGCTAACATCATTTCAGCGTCGCCATGTTAAACTTTGGAAAAAATAAATTACTGTAATTTACCCAGAATCTGGGTAGACTCTTCTCATCACAACAAATCTAGCTTACTCAGTTTTTGACAACTCTATAGTAATATCCAACCAATTACCGCCCACCCGTGGCGCTGTTGTCGTAGCGGTGATAAAAATGTAAACATCTGTCAAACGTGACTCATATCAGAATTTTCATTTTTTAAATTGAAAATTTGTCTTGTCTTGGTACGTTTTTGATGGTCAAAAAGCTTGTAAAATTGTAGGAAAAGTGTCCTTCTTCAAAGTGACAAATGACTACAATGATATCACTGCTTGCAATCAGGAAAATAGTTGAATTTTTAGACTACGTAAACACAAGCTCCACCGCCTAACATTCTCATTGTTGTTGCAGGATCGTTGCATTATCCCGGGATGCAACGAGAACAAATTTAAACTTTATCGAGTTCCAAATTCGGGGAGCAACAAATTCGTGCAGTGGAGAAAGGTTGCCACTGTTTACGGATCAGAAGAATATAAGTTCCAAAGTTTGTTATCCCCCCGACAACATTAAATTTGAGATTAACTTCATGTGGCCGCTCCCCGGGATAGGAACTTTGCAGAACAAATCCATTCCCCTCAATTCTTGCTTTGCTGCTGATCTACTGGTGTAGCCCAGGCACACAATATGCTAGGTCTCTAAATCCGCTAGCACGGAGTCTCCAACATCATCCAGCAGACTGATTCGGACGTCGATTTCAATCATACAAAACATAACCTAAATAATATCGGTTTATCAAAAAAAAAAAAAAAAAAAAAAAAAAAAAAAAAAAAAAAAAAAAAAAAAAAAAAAAAAAAAAAAAATAAGAGATGAACTAGCCCCAGGCTAAAAATCTCTATAATAAAGACTAAAAAAAAAAAAAAAGGTTTATCAAAAAACACATTTTCATTATCCTTCAATGACATTGTAATGAAAATTAATATAACATTAGCACAGACAAACAGACATAACTCATTGAATATTTCTTACTGTAAAACATCGTCGCTAAAACATTACCGCCATCTGTTGAGTACACTGTGGTGGGTAGTACGCTGAACAGATGGCGGTAGTGTGTAAACGTCAAACGCAAGGGAATTTACTATGCGTGTCACAGGTGGCGGTACTACCAACTATGATACTTTTAAATTGACCGTTAAATGCTTGTTCGATGAACAACTTGTGAGTTTATGTCTGTTTGTCTGTGACATTACATTATTCGACAAATTTCCTACATGTATAATCCAAAGTAATGCTCGTATCTCACTATTTTGAACTCTTTTTTCAATAATGTATCACTCAAACTCTGGAATTTAAACCGGCTGCCATAAATTTATCACCATCGACTATTACTATTTCCCGCCACTAGTGACGCATAAATTTCACTTGGATTCTACTATACTGCACGTAAGAATGAGTGGAATCCACCCAGTCACTGAGTAGACTCAGAATAGCGTGTACGTGAGAACGTCGTTTACTCAAAAGTGAGTCAACATCAGCCTACTCAATTTTGAGTAGCCCTACTTGCCGCTGAGATGAGTACATTCGACTCAATTTGAAAAAAAAAACAGATTAAGCGTGTATGCTCATAAATGGGAGTTCCAGCTTCCCTCGTAAATGATTACTTTGTACACGGAGATGAAAAACTACCCAACATTAAGTACTTTTCCCTCAATTCCGGGGTTCAGCCAATAACCCAAATTTGAGTAAATCGCATATAGTAGTTTCCATTTAACACCAGCAAAAAACAATTACCTACTCTTAAGTATATTCTACCCAAAATTAAGTTTAATTCACGTAAATTTGAGAATATGCATTTTACTCAAAAGTAGCTTATTGGGCTGAGCTATATCGTTGGGTCGAATCTCTTGTTCCTTTTTTCACAACAATAACGAGTGCAAGTGAGAGGCTGAAGTCAATATTAAGTAAAAAGAACTCAAATTTTGGGTAGTATTTTTTCTCCGTGTAGTCAACATTGGGTATTTTGCGGCTACCGTGTAGAACGTACGTGAAATTAAATGTGTGAACAGAAAATTCCAGTGCAAATTGAATATTATTTCTTACCGGTATTAAACATACGGAGTGGAACGATGAGTAATCGCCGCAGCCGGTTCAGTTTGTCTTTAGTTCGAAGATCAGGTAAGATATAATAGAATACTTAGTTCCGGAATGATTCGAGATTTGGGCGTAGGTAATAGGTTTTGTATACAAACAAGTCAATCGCTGCGTATACAAACAAGCGAATAAACGCTCAATCTCAAAAACGTAGAGGAATGATTCCTCTAGGCTTTTTCGAAGGGACTTTTCTGTTTTAGTAAACAATGCATTTGATCGTCACTTCAGTACCAACATTTCAAAAGGGCGAAACTGACAAATGTAAACAAACTGAGTTTTTTTTTTCATAGAAATGGACAGCAAGTGATCCAATACTATAAACAATTTCATAAAATTTCACACATTTCACAATTTCAAAACATGTTTTGTCACCCTAAATTACCATCTTCAAAAAGACGTAACTAACTTTTGTAGTTTAATATATAGACGCATTTCGCGCCAAATCGTATTCGGAGCTGGCAGCACCCTCTCAGATTTCAATGAAACTTTCTGGATGTGTGGACCTTGACTAATAGCGAATTCGTTTATTATCGGGGACAAAAAAAAACAAAACAAACGAGCAAACTGACGTTTGTCAGAAAACAAGCAGACCCAATCCTGATACCCGATCCAGGTTGGAACTGTATAATAAACGAATTCGCTATAAATATGCCACTTTGCATACTTAGTTTTTCCAAAATTTATCTAGACTAACATTTGAGAAGGGTCAAACTTTTTCTGCCGATTTTTTTCAAAAAAATATGGAAACATGACAACTCCTACAAAAATGTGTTGTATGGATGACTTTTAGGAAATTGTCCAAGTTATCGAAAAAAAAAATACTGGAAAAAATTTCATTTGAGACCTACACTGAAAAAAATGATTTTTAAAATTTAAAGTCGTTTAAAAAAAAATGGCCATGTTTGATTTGGATGAAACTTTGTCTCAAGATAGGTAACTACCGTGCCGATTCAAATTTCGGACACTTAAACTCGAATTTCGGACACTTTTAAAAGTTGATTATCTCGGTCGAATATGATCCACATGTCTTGTAAATTTTAAATTTTTTTGACTAGTGCCGTCCACGATCATCTAACATTATTACTTTGTTTCTAACTGGATGTAATATTTAATTAAAAATGAAAGTGTCCGAAATTTGAATCGTCCGAAATTTGAATCGGAACGGTATGTTAACTACCAACCGTTCATACTTCGCGAGATGGGCACTTTTAAGGAAACAAAGTTTTCTTACAAAAACTTTTTCATGTCTGAACTGATTTTTTTTATTTCCATTTTCACACAAAACTAAACCAGTGAAGGTCAAAATCATCTCAGAATCCAATGAAGCTCAATTTGCGATTCAATTTGGCTTATCAGCACTTAAGTTCACTTTGACCTTGTCAAAAAAAATATCATTCCCTTATTTTGTTGTCTACTACTGATGCAAAATTTGATAATATGTGAGAGAAAAAAAGACAAGATTTTTCATATATCATTTATTTATATATTTTCAATGTTTACCTATTTTCATACATGCAATTTTTTCCTTTTTCCAATCAAGTTAAATATTTTTGGTTCATCTTCTGAATTAGAATTCCTTTTTTGCCGCTACTTTGTCACCAGTTATAGGCACAAAACTGTGGAACTTCTGTGTGCCAGAAATTGTCTTTGTGCTGTTATATAGTTCTTCGAGTTCTTCTGACATTTCGATGTACTGTTCAGCGGATATGTACTCGAAATGTAGGTATGTGATATTTTTATCTGTTTGTTCAACTGCCCAGTTATATAATTCTCGTGGAGTTGTTATGGTGTTTCCATAATCTCGAGCAAGACTAGCTCTCTTTGCTATTCGCTTGAGAGTGCCACCAATGGCATCACAGGGACCTTTTCCATGAGACGTTGCAACAAAAAAATGCCATTCTGCTTCTAATCCATGCTTTGACTGAAATCTACACAGACTAGCAAAGTTTTTTTTTTTATTTTTGTGTTGTGATCAGTGGTGGTACGAGTACTGAAGTTTAACGTTTTTTCCTTAACATTTGATACTTTGCGCAATGACCATAGAGAAGACGCACAAACACAAACTGGCAAGCGGAAAAAATGTCATGACATTTCTAAACTGTTTTCTGCCGGCAACCGAACATTTGCGCACGATGAAGCAGACAAGACCAGCGGCGCGTGCGACATAAATTTATGTCATGTAGAATTTTGCTGATTTCTGGCTTATTATATCATTTATTTGATGTTTATTATATGTAATTATAAAATAAGAACGAATACTAACCACTCATAAGCTTATATGTTGAAATTATGTGTAAATAAGGGACTTTACTGTCACACGCAAGCAATTTCAGTAAACTGTTTGAAAAATAATGGGCTACGACATTTTTCCTATTCTCTATCTCCGCCGTTTGCTTGTAATGTAGAAGTACACGAACGCCCGTGTGCTGGCTGTTTTGGCCTGTTACCACATCTGATTGTGATGCTGCCCCATCTGACATAAAAGTAATTTAAGAAAAATCTATCGATTGTTTAATAAAATCTATCATTTTTTAGATGAACAACTAAACTGCAACTGTATCGTGAGTCATTACTTCTGATATGATAATGAAGCTAACATTTTCATGTTTATTGTCTTTCTTATAATAAACTTCAAATGGATGCATTGTTGCTTTCATTTTCATTTTCATTTTGCAGCGTTTGGTGGGGCAATGGGAGCGCAAGTCAATCCAAAGCCGAGGATAAAGAACGGGTAATGGCTGAATAGTCTATGCGGACCACTTGAACGCCATGGGAAAAGGAAGGGGTTGAAGAGGCCGGTTATTGGGGGGTTTTGAGGAAATGACACATAGTGATGCTAAATGTAAAGAAACCGAAAATCCATCTCCCACTGATTCATCCTTTCACACATCTACCAAATTGATATTTTAAAGCAATAATCAAAATAAACAGACAATACATGAAAAGGCTAGTTGCCAGTTGCTTTAAGGTTCAATCCACCTCGATGCCCCTCGGAAAACCTAAAAAGCAGCCCCCTCCGACGCACTACTTCGTACTGCAAAAAGCTCGCACTATTCGATTCCTTTTGATATTTTACACAAAATGACGCGAGCCTCCCGCAATCCAAAACAACGCGCCGAAAAAAACCACTCCCAAACCTCCAAAAAATGCATCAAAGCAAATTGAACCTTAAAGGCTAGTTGCCTCCCTAAGCGGACCCTCCGCATCCTAAAGGCCGGCGCACAATAGATACGTTTTCGAGTTTTTTGACAGATAATGCATGGGCTAACTGTCAAAAAACCTGAAAACGTATCTATTGTGCGCCGGCCTTAACTCTTCTGTTAATCCACTTAATGCTACTAGGCTGTCTAAATTTTCTTATTTAAGTTCGTTTGATGATTATGATATCTCTAGTCTAATTTAATAAATAATTGAAATCTCTAATCTACCTACCATGCTTTATTAAGTACCTGCACTTGTGAATGTAATCTAATATTTAACGTGTTTCAAGTTGTTTTTGACTTTGGCCTATATTTAATTTTTATTAGTTCGTCCTACTGACGAGGCTCGGTAGCTCAGTGGTTACCGTTTCTGCTTACTGAGCAGAAGGTCGGGAGTTCAATCCCAGGCCCGTCCCCTTCCTTGCAATTTTTCACTTTGCCTATTCTATACCCACATCCCATCTTTTTAATGAAAACAAATTCTTCTTTAACACCGATCGCATCACTTACCACAGTGTGGGTCCTGATCTAAAAATAGAAATTGGATGAGTGCGCGCGCGTGTGTGTGTGTGTGTGTTTGTGTATTATAATCGCTCTACCAAAAAACGATTCCTGCGTGTGCGTGTGCAACCTTTCCCCACATCCAACATCCCAGTGATTTCTCGTGGAAGCGCAGAGGATTTCTCGGTTTCCTTCACAGCGAGTACCACGTCAACACATTCCTTCCCATTCCCTAGTTGACCTGCATTCGGACACGGCCGGCGCTGGTATTGCTAAATATTAGATCTCCAGTTCTTACACATTGAGGATGAATGTTAGTCCCAAACATCATCTGTTGGTTCTCTGTGTAATTGCAGCTGATCTGGTAATAACAGAGCAGCAACCGTGGGCGGTCAATCTGATTTTTTTTTTATTTGATATATATTAGTTCGTCCCAGGTGACACCTTCAAGTGACTAAAATGCTTCACTTTGAAGTTAGTTTCCTAGCTGATTTTTAAATTACATAGGGTATATGCTTCAACTACACTCACACGTTTCCACTATGTCGCACCACAAAAATACGTATGGTTATGTCCTCGGTTATGTCACAATAGAAGCACGCCACAGTGGAAATCCCGAGCCATAGTTCAAACACTTATCCCAAATCAAAATGAAGCACATATAAGATTAGTTGCAATACCATGTACAAAAATGGTGTTTAACTCTTCGACTACCACACCTAAATCACACTTTTCACTATTTTTGTAATATCTTCGGTAAATTTTCATGTATTTTTAATGTTGTTATCTTGTTGGAAAGGGTATTAATTTTCCTTTTTGATGGTTTGATTGAGCATAGCACACAATGACGAGTTTGATAGTTGTTAATCAATCTTTTGGTTTTTCAGTTTTTGTCGAGTCGGTAGACATGTCGTTTCAGCAAGTTGAAGTTGATCGGTTTGTCCTTTTATATTTTTTCCTGAAAGCCTATAAAAGTATCTAATAGAATGCACCATGCACACATTTCCGAAAATTTTGTTATAATTTGGTAATCCTGATTTTATGAAGCTATGACACAATCAGGGAGCGTGAATAACAAGCTAATGAAAAGATTAGGATGTGACCTATCCAACGGTATTATAACATTTGAAAACGTATAAATAGCGACTGAGATACATCATTTTGAAAAAAATGTCGACTCCATTTTCAGTGTGGTGCCCGAAGAGTTAACATTGTTCCCTGAGTAATACCTCAATGAAAACAACAACGAAAGCTTGTCACGCAAGTAGAAGAAGCACCGTTGGGCACTTTCTGAAATATTTCAATAGTATAATTCCCTTGCCC